CTAGCACTAGCTATTAGCCTTGAATGTGGAATATGTTTATTTTTGTCATTAATATTGCTTCCCCCTTTTTTCACTTTATAAATAGTCATTTTCTAATATTTTATCAACCAGGAAGAAGAAAATGAAGAATTCTCCATGGTAGGAAAATTAAGTATGACAAAAATACTCAGACTGGCCGGTAACATCAACAACTGTTCATCTGACGAAGCCGATGATCCAGATAATCATGCAGATGGAAATATAGCCACTAAGGCTGTAAATGCAGGTATTCATTGGCACTTTTTATCTCTCACCACATTCGTTTGCCTTAGTGAGACTTACTACTCTGCATTTTTGTAGAGTCAGATGAAGGGTACCATGGTAGCGAAGAGCACAATCTTCGAGTGGGACCCGCTTCGAATACTCCAAAACAGTTGGCCCTCACTGATGAAGAACTGCTAGCACTTTACCCCTTAGGAGAGCTCTCTAGCCTCCCGAAACGCTGGCAAAGAGGAGGAAAGGGGCACAGGCGTAAGAAGGCCCCCCACTATGGTTCTATATCGACTGAAGTGCGGAAGATCCTACTATGCAACGTCAAGCTTGCTGGCCATTTGGATACTTTTCACCGGCGCAAAGCTGAGGCTAGGCGCTTCACCGAAACAAACCTGTGCTACCCTTCATCATTCTGCCTCAACAACTCGTCATTCCATCAATCAGGTCATATTCGGCGGTGCAGTGCGGAGCAACTCGTCCTGAAGCGGCATAAGCACCTCGCCCAGACACTTGCCAAGCGAAGAACTTAGCTTCGAGCGAATACGCCTAGTAATGTCGAGCGCTTACCTGTACATACTTACAAATACAACAGAGAATGATCTTTCCGTCACACAGTGTTTTACACCCTCGGGCACGACCAGTCTAAGAGTGAGCCGGTCCACTGTACACTTCCCGATCATTAGATTATAAAGAAAAATAGGGTTTTGAAGAGCTCCTTAGAGAGTGGTATTTGGAAAGGAAAATTGGTAGGGAGGTGCTCGCGATATGGTCCCACTAGAAACCGGAGGGTTGCTACATGCATGCTGTGTTGTGCGAATAACTCATTGGCCCACCGTCCTACGACTCAGATGAACCTGTGTTGACCTTTCGTAGGGGGATAGTAGGCCGACAACATCACGAATTTCTTCCTACCTGGATTCATGCCATAATATTATCATTAGGGTGTTATAACTAGACGGAAAAGCTTTGTCACGTAACATGCCACTATAAAATCCCCTTCTGCAGGTCGGGCTAAATCATGCAACCTATCGCTGTCGGTGAAATCAGGCCACCCATACCTAAAGTTGTTTGCAACTGCCCCCCGGATTATCCGTCATCTATGCGGAGCGGCGACAAGAGATTGTGCCATAAAAAGGGTGATCCATTCCATCGTACGACTAGGGTAATGTGCAAATGCTGGGGGGTTTAAGCAGATTATTGCTATGGAATACTTCCCGCGCGCCAGCAAAGGGGGATTTGCGTTTGCCTAATGCGTCAATGAGAACACGATTTGGCCAAACTTGTTTTAAGTAAAGTGATTAGGGACTAAAAAAGCAGGGGGAATCTGTAAATTCGGAGAAATAAAAGGTCACAGTAGGGGCATTTCAGGGTTTAGCGGAAAATCTTCATTTCATTTTCGAGCCACTCTTCATCCATTTCGTCAAGATCGCGAATCTCGAAGACCTTCGTAACTTCGCCTTTCCTAACCAAGTTAGCTAGACTGGCTGCGTACATGAGCTGCAGCTCGGGCTGACAGCCTGCAAAAACGGGTAGATAAAGCAAGGTTAGAATGAATGAATAGGTGATATGGAAGTTAAGATGCTTACCTTGTGGAGTGGAAAAGATCAGAATGTATGGATACGACATACGGCCGTCTTCGTGTTTGTATGCATAGCTTAATAACACGAAGCGAGGCTCGTTGCATGGGAGCTCATTCGTCAAATCGCTTATTCGAATGTCCTGACAAAAGATGGAATTAGAACACCTACTTCTAAGAAATTTTCTTT